TATTCTTTGTCTAACCAATGTTCTAAAAGTTCCAGTGTGCATCGGAGGCATGGCGTATCCTACCGTGTTTACACCGATAGTTTGGCCTCAAGTGTCGGATTATGGTTCTCAAAGAAGCCTGTTGGCTGCCTCTGACCTGTTCAAATTAAAAAATACCGAGCACCTAAATTCCATTTCACCTCTCTCCCTACTACCGATACTTAAAGTCACACAAATCTGCCTATGGGATTATAAACCTTTGGAATCCCTCCGTCCCCTAATGTTTAACCAGAATAATAGATGTTAAAAACGAGATGATTTATGTTGGAATTTCCTTCGGGACAGTTTTGTGGGGGTTTCTAAAGCTCTGTTTTCCGCAGCTCGGCTTAGTCGGCATCGGATGTGAGCTCTCTAACAGCCGTTCATCAACCACAATGATCGATAAGTATGATTTCCATGTATGCATGTGCATATGTATACGACTGGTCTAAGCGCTTCCATTCATTAGTGGTATCGGCTGAATTCAATTATCTTCATTCACGACGGGCACTCACTCAGCATTTATGGAGGGAAAGGACCAGCTCAAATTGTTTGTCTGTCGGGCTAGGGATATGATATTGAGAAGGGGTCAGTGAATTTTGAATAGAGCGAGGGATTATTCATTCGAATGCCCCCGAATGGATTTAGACAGTTCGTAGGGAATGAGCTGGAATAGAAAGGGGGACGGTATTGCAAGAAATGGGAGCTGGGAATGGGGGCTATTTTGTCGTTCATGGCTGAATGACCTCGTCACTTTTCGGGAAAGCTTCCAATGACTGTGAAGTAGTAATATTAAATCTAACAAGCTAATTTTGAAAAGCTCAAAAGATCAAATCAAATTTTTGAAGAAAAAATATATCGTGAGAATGGTTCGTAAATTAAGTAAAACTTGTTTGAAGGAATGTCAATCCCACTTAGACATGCGCCCCGCCTTCGACTTCCACTCAGAACCGTAATGGCGTGATGGATGCGTATGTGTCCTACCCAAGGACTTGCGGGAACCAGCCGTTGTACAAGACAGTGCTTTTCCACTCCCAGACGAGTCCAGAACCAAGAAACAGACCACAGAGGGAAAGTAGACAGAGGATTACAAAGACCAGGCGCTTAGTATTTCATAATGTATTCATGTTAGTTTGTTCGGGTGCACTTTGTCCTTTTTGCCTTTTGTCCTTCACCTCAAACCTGACTGAAAGCCAATTGGTTGTCGTGGGTATAAAAACGATGTGAAACTGAGTCCACGAAGACCTGGTAGAGTGACAGGAGAACTTTTTCGCTGTTTGAATGGTCCCTGAGTCCAGTCCTTCAATCTGTCAGTTGTGTCTGCACCCCTCATTCCTCCAGTGTTGCTTACCTCTTGTCGAAATATTTAGAGGTACTGATTACTTCAGAAGAGGTCAAGTAAACATCTAATCGACTCTGTGATTCGACTTGGAACACATATTCGTGGCGTATACTGAGAATACTGACGGCCATGGGCATTTCTTTCTTCATTTTGCTTGGTTCTTGAGCGAACGTTTTCCTACTTACTACCCTCTAGACCAACATGCCCAACCTCTTCAGAGGCATTTTGGGATTTTTTAAAATTTCCACTCAAAATTTCCCCACTCTTGAGACTCCCAGGGTTTTCTCCCCGGAAGAGTTACACCTCAAGACGATTTCGCAATTCCACTGGTGCAGCGTGCCTGACTAGGCCTTCCTAATCCCAGGCTTTCAGTTCTGCGCATCGATTCACCAACGAAAACGAGGGGGAGTTAGCGGGAGAACTCGGGAGGCAATTAGAAACCTCGGCATTCTGTGAGAGGGGTGTTTTGAGAGGGAAACAGCAGCGGTAAGGCCAGATGGCTGCGGCGATTTGACGTTTGAAGTGTGCTGAAATGAGAAAAATGTGACGGCTTGAACCACCGAATCCGACATGAACGAAATATTTCGAAAAGCCGAAAGCTCAAAAGCCAAATCGGCCTAAAGGGACGTCATGAACATTCATCTAAAGCCTCATGTCTCTAAAGTCTTCAGAGGCGGTTTGCTGAGTTCTGCCCATGACTCATAGAGTGTCTGAACATTTTGCAACATCTCTCTCATGGCCTGCACCTCATACCGTCGTATGCCTTTGTTGGTCCACTCACAAGCCATATTTTTTGTTCTATCTGGGTCTGAAAAGGTTGTTGGTCCCTTCATACCTAACTCTTAATTCGTCGTGCCGTTATTCTGGTGTTCTGTTACACATTATGCGTCTGAGCCTCGAAATTCCGTTCCTAACTGATTGAACCCGCAGGGAACTCATATGTAAATCGAAGGTTATACCAAAGCCATGTAAATTACCCAAAATAATTGCAAGGTCCACGCGCCACCAACCGGCCATGCGGTTCTGGGACAACTGCCATTCTTTTCTTTCGTAGTGAGTTTATGCCGATTCGGTAGTATTTCCAAAATGGCCGGTGGATAAACAGCGATTTTTTCTTTTAGTTGTATTGTCTATATTTATTGACCAGCTGTAGGCAATATCCCGTCTTCCATGGCAGTTAGTCGCTCTTCTAACGACGGCAATCTGTCGTCGCAAAAGACTTTTCTTGTAATCCAGTTGGCCTCATGGGGATCCGTGCTAGCACTTTTAGCCGATTACCACTGGCATGCCCATGCCTGTTTCTACCTTAGGTATATACCCCTTTTATTACCCAGGTTCGACCTAGCGGTGAAAACACGCTGAATTGGGGCTGAGCAACGAGTTACTAAAAGTTATACGACGCAAACAATCCCAGATCCATACATGCAAAGGCCAAAAAGTCTTCCATCCATCCGGGCAGTTAATTTGTGGCAGACTCGTCTGCGAGGATGAAAGCACTGACTTGTACATCGGCTGGCCACTACCAATCACCCACGCATCTCTCAGAGGGTATTGACACCTCGTTTCTGAATGGAAGTCCAAGGCGGGGGCGCATCCTAGAAACTGGTTGATCAGCGGCTAATACCTTATCTTTTTCCTCTTATACATTGTGCAAGTCAGTGCTTTATTCTTCCCAGACGGGTCCAATTAACCGACATTGTAATCAGGGACGCCCATAGCCACGTCAATGCTCCTTTTCTCAGTTTCTCGTTTCCTTGCTTGCCAGAATTTCTAGTCCGCATAGAAAAAACATCTATTCTTCTTCCGTTCCCTTCCGATTCACTCAAATTTGTACACTTGCAAGTTTTATTAGCACCTTTCTTGTAGGGGTTCTTGAACATTCTTGATTCTTGAAACCAGTTTGACGTTGGATTACGAAAAAAATGATGAAAAAATACTTGGAAGAAGACAAATTTGCTGTGGTCCATCCCCGCGCTGAACATGGCCAGATGTGTAGAAAAAACGGGACCTACATGAAACAGTTCAAGTTACTACAGAACCGCTTCCTGAGGAACCCTTTCCTGTAACTACGGCTCTACTTCTGCCCTAGCGCTGGCGAAACTGATAGCTTACTCTGGCAGTCTGGGATTGATTCGCATTTTGTCTTGAAGCGTTTAGTCATAGCTTCAGTTGAGCAGTAGGTCGAATATGTAGATATTTTTCCGACCTTTCGCCCTTCAACCGTTTCCTGTAGAGAGAGGTTCCTCTACTTGTCTGCTCAAAAGTATCCCTTGCTTTCTCTTCCTTTCCTTCCTT